CTCCATACCTTTTCAACCTATATGCAGAACATATTATCTGGGAGACTGGGCTCTATGAGGAGAAATTTGGGGTCAAGATTGGTGGAAGATCTATCAACAATCTGTGTTATGCAGATGACACAACCCTGCTTGCTGAAAGTGAGGAGGAGGACCTGAAGTGCTTGCTGCAGAGGGGTCAAGGACTGCAGCCTCCAATATGGATTGAGGCTCAATGTCAAGAAGACAAAGATTCCCACCACTGGCCCAATTGGCAGCATCAGGATAGATGGTGAAGAGATTGAGATTGTTCACAACTTCAGTTTGCTTGGCTCCACAGTCAACACTCTCAGCACCTCTCAGCACTCTCAGTAGCCAGGAAATTAAAAGGTGCATTGCCATGGGAAGGTCTGCTGTTAGGGACCTCTCCAAAGTATTGTAGAGCAATGGTGTCTCTTGGGAGACTAAGGTGCATCTGATACAGGCCATGGTCTTTGCAATCACTTGTTATGCATCAGAGAGTTGGACAATGACCAAGGAGGATGGAAGGAGAGTTGATGCCTTTGATCTGTGGTGCTGGAGAAGAGTATTGAGAGTGCCATGGACTGCTAGGAAAGCAAACAGATTTGTCCTGGAAAGGGTTAAACCGGGTAGATCCTTGGAGGCAAGGATTCTGAGGCTCTGTTTAACAGACTTTGGACATGTTGTGAGGAGAGACTGGTCCTTGGAGAGGGACATCATGCCTGGGAGGGTGGAGGGACAGCGCAGGAGGGAAAGGCCCTCTATGAGGTGGATTGATTCAGTGACTGGGGTAATCGGGAATGGGAGTGTCAGAGACAATGTGATTGGCACAGGACAGAGCAGAGTTTAGGGCTGTTGTACATAGGGTCGCTATGAGTCGCAAGAGACTCGATGGCACATAACAACAACAGGAACAACAGAGGTCTTGAAAACTAGGCTGAAGATCATGGCTTAAGGAAAGGAGCATTTTTTCTCTGAGCTCTCTTGTTCCTTGATTTTACTACTGGGAGAAGAGGCAGAGGGCGTCCCAGGCAGCTTCAGCCTGGGCTGAGGAGTTACTCTCTGAGAGGGTCAGAAGAAGGAGTAACAAGAAGTTCTCGCAGGGATGAGCAGATGGCCGCGTCAGAGAATCTTTCAATCATTCTTTCTCCTACCACCCTCTTTCCCCAGAATTGCTGGAGCCCTCCCACTTCTCCAATGTGAACCTGAACAGAGACAACTGTGATGACCCTTCTGTGACCCTCGATCTGTCCCAGCTGTCCATGCTGCCCCATCTTGCTGACCTGGTCAGTTATAGCATCCAGAAGGTCATCGGCTTTGCCAAGATGATACCAGGGTTCAGGTAAGATGCTTCCACGGCATTGGAGAAAGAGTTAGAATCCTGGACTTTGCTAGAAGGAGAAAGGCTTGGAGGCCACTCCTCCACTGCTTCCCCCAAATAGAGACTCAGACCACCTAGCCCAGTGGGGTAGGCCAGCAACCAAAAGTAAACCTGTTACCATTGAGTCAATACTGATTCTTAGCGCCCCTTATTAGGACAGAGTAGACCTGCCTCCTAGCTTCCCAAACTGTAATCGTAGAGATTACTACAGAAGCCGACTGCTTCATTTTTCTCCCATGGGGACGCAGTGAGTTTGAAGCACTGACTTTTCAGCACTCAACCACTAGACTACCAGTGCCCCTTCTGGGGTTAGGCTCAGGAATCTGTGTTTTGGACATTGCACCAGGTGCTTCCAATGCTTCCAATGGCTCTGTGGGCCAGCACTGGAGAGCTAGTCTCTCCAGTATTTTCTGGATGATTAGAGCAAAAGCCAGGTAGGTCCAGTGGCCAGCCCAGGATCATTTTCTGGTATTTGAACCAGAGCTGGAGAGCCAGGCCTAGAGGTCACAGTTGATGCCATGTCCACGTCAGTTGACTGGAGTCCAGTCCTTTCCATTAACCTGCGTTAATCCCCTAACACTCAATATGGATACCAGAATGGCATGATGGTGAGGAGAAAATGTTGAGCACAAGCAATTGTGATCAGAATCCTATAGGGGGCAGCTTTACTGGTATATATGGCTAGGGCATTCTTCACCCAAAATTAGTGAAAATCCATTCCACAACCACAACCATGTGTTGTGTGTGTGTATTGTGTACCGTAGAATCGGAACCAACACATAAATGACCCTCAGGTAGGTTTTTAGAGGCAGTTAATCATACAGGAGGAGATTGCCTATCTTCCTCCTGTGGAGCAACTGGTAGATTTGAACCACATGCTATCGGGATTGCAATGCAGCATCTTCTTGCTACTAGGACACCAATGCTCCCTTTTTCTTTTCTTTTCTTTTCTTTTCTTTTCTTTTCTTTTCTTTTCTT